TAGATGCCAAACAAGAGTTTGAACACATGCACACTGTAGGTGTGCTATGAGTGTGTATGACAGACAGTTTTACTGTTGCACCTCTGTTAAAAAAAACAACCCAAACCTACTTTTATTTTGTTTTATACCAAACATGCTTTTCTTGCCTGCATTACCCAAAATGCAACAAGCACAGGCGGTTTATCACACTTTGATAGCTGCAGAATGCAGAGATATAGCAAGTTTACATCTTTCTAGCACCTCCAGATTTGCTCATATTTTCAGTTTTAATATTCCGCCCCAGACTTTTGCATATTTCTGCAGCTCTCTCTGAAGAGATTTATACAAATGTTTCCCTCATAGAGCTGTGCTAACTGCCTTTAGCTGTAAACAGTAAACAGACTTTATTGTATACTGCAAGTGTTGTCAGCTCTGTGTAATATTAGTACTTTTATGTCAAAGGGTCTGCACACAAATCACACTCACTGAAAACTAAGCAACTCATTTAAACATGTTGTTCACTGAATGATCCTCTAGGTGGCGAAATCAGGACGTTAGTTTACTAAAACTACTGGCCATAAGCACTACCTGTTGGAGCACTCTGTACACGGTAACAATAACAACCGAAAAATAAAAAGAATCTGAATCATCACCACCTTGAGGCCACTCCTGATAAAAATCCCACCTAAACCTTCTGGATATTGGTGGGTATGTGATCAATCTTATTAACTCAATTTAAGTTGGTTATCTTGTGTGACTATAATATAAACATGCAGTAAAGCCATGCAATAAAGGTATTATGCGTTACAGTACACAGTAGTTTATTTATTCTCCCCCACGGCTGTTTGCGTTTTATACCTTTGGCACGCTTCCTTAATGTGACGCTACACAATTACAGGTGCTGGTGACAAATCAGAGGTCAGTAGTCCCCATGATGACTCAGAGCTGAATATGTACAATAAAGGCTGCAAAGCGTAAACGTGCTTAATTAAACCGAGTTTCATTCTCACGCACACGCACAAACACAAAGATGCACACCTAACCACCAGTCCATTCTCTCGGTCTAATTAGAGGGAGTGGTTCAATAGCGCGCCAGGCTTCGGCAGACAAAGGGTTAAACTGCTGAGCCAGTTGAGCGCACCATCCAACCGGGCTGTGTCGCTAGGGAAAGATATAGGGTACTTGTGGAGAAGCAACAGATCTCAGCTGGAAAACAACCCCACATCTGGCACGCGGGACGACCAAATCTGAGGAGGAAAAATCAGTCAAATCTTTCACTGCATGATTAGATGAACTGGACCGGTGGATCAATCTCTGACTTCCAAATCACGAGCAGGGACGAGAAAAGTTGCCAATATTAGTTGTGGATTTGATTTTGGCGCTGCAGAATTTGGATATTTTTTTGTTTTTTAAAAAAGGGGGAGATGATCGTCACATGTTTTCTGACTTAGCGTTTTCTTCTATAGGAAATACCATGCGTAAAAGCCAATATTCTTATATTTCCTGGCAATAATATATCTTCGTGGACGGGAAATAAGTCCAACATCTTTGCGCCCGTGGACAAGAATTAAGTATAACATCTGGAGGCAACAACTCAAAACACCTTGTCCAATCTATTCGACTACAACGTTTACAAACACCAATCGAGTTCCGCCACCCGCGTTTTGCTTTTTTCAGCCTCCAGACTGAGTTTTGTTACAGGTGGTTTTCATCGCGCTTTACCGTTACTATGCACCTTAACAATCAGCAATAAATGAGCCACATGGGTGTGAAATGAAGGCTCACTTTGCTTTAATTTTCTGATTTTTCCCCCCAGTGGACAACAGTTTGAACCAGGGGCGAACAGCCAGTAGGTCTGCTCTAAATGATAAGCTCGGTTTGTGTTTCGTCTTACCGAGGACGCAAGTCGGGCAACAAACCTCCGTCTAAATCATGTCTGAAGGAAGACATGGCCAGAGGGGAAGACTCGGATAAAATTATTATCAACGTAGGCGGCACTCGACACGAGACCTACAAGAGCACCCTCAGGACCCTGCCGGGGACGCGCCTGGCATGGCTAGCAGACTCGGAGTCGCAGGTCAGCTCCGACTCAGACATTGCGTCCCCGAGTGCCACCGAGTTCTTCTTCGACAGACACCCCGGCATCTTTGCGTACGTGCTCAACTATTACCGGACAGGCAAGCTGCACTGCCCGGCTGACGTCTGCGGGCCTCTATTCGAGGAAGAGCTGGCGTTTTGGGGTATAGACGAGACTGACGTGGAGCCATGCTGCTGGATGACCTACCGGCAGCACCGGGACGCGGAGGAGGCCCTGGAGATATTTGAACCGCCCGACCCAGATGACACCGACGACGAGAGAGAGATGCCGAGGAGGTTCGGCATCGAAGACGTCCCCGACAGGTCGAGAGGCTGCCGCGAAGTTTGGCAGCCAAAGATCTGGGCGCTGTTTGACGACCCGTATTCATCTAGAGCAGCCAGGGTGAGTTCAGCAGGCGGCCCACATGTCAGAGTGCGTCCGCAAAAGCCCGCTGTGTCGTTCCAACTAGGAAAAAAGGCGCACATGTTGTCCAAATCAACAGGTGTCAGCCAGTCA